TTTTTTTTTTTTTTTTTTTTTTTTTGGTACCGGGGATCAAACTTAGGACCTTCACTTTCGAGGTAGGCGGCGGCACCCCTGCGCTAAATCCCAGGCTCTTCACACACACGCTTTATCTTAAATTCTAACTTCTAAACCGGAGCCTACCGATTTCAGTAGAGGGAGCACCAGACTCAAATGAGAGAAGCAACTTCCCAGGTCAGGGCTGTAAAGCTCACCCAGAGAGAGCGGAGTAGGCACAATAAAGTTTTTAGGAAAGGACTCTTGAGGCAAACTGCTGAGTAGGAATCCTGGAAACGCAGCCCCTCGCCAGCTAATGACCTTGGACTAGTCACGAGGCCGCATTTTCTTCTCGGCTGTTGAAGTAAAAGGCAGGCGGTGGCTTTAGGGGAACTTTCCATAAGAGCGCTTACCTCATAAAGTTGTGAGAAGTAAATGATATTTGAAAAGTGCCTAGAACAGAGCCTGGAGAGCACACTGGGCCACTGAATATTCGTTTAAAAACAACGCCAGCAGATAGCAGGAGCCCTAACACTAGCGAATCAGACGGACAGGCCTCAGACGACCGAAGCACTACCCCAGCCCGCAGCGGAGACCAGAGCTCGGGAACCGCTTTCCCCGGCGGCGAACCTCCTCCGACCCGGAGACGCGGCGGGCGGTTCGCAGGGCCGCGGGGCGGGACGTGGGCTCCCGGTCCCCTCCGCCCCTACTCGGACAGCCGTCCGCTGCGCCCTCCCCGGAGCCGCAAACGCCGCTCACCGAGAGGGGTCCGCCACTGGAGACGTCGCCATCCGACGGCGCTCCCCGGGATCCTTGACAACCGCAGCGCCGGGGCTGACGCGCCACAGAGGCCGGAAGTGCGTCATGCGGCGGCCCTCTGGTAGTGCGGTGATGGCTGCGTCCCTTCTAGGAATTCCGGAGGTGTCCGCACATCGGTGGTCGCCGAGAGCGCTCTGAAACTAGCAATACTGCTTTAGTAGAGACCGATCTGGTGACAACCAACTTGAGAGGCTTAACACATATATTTATTCGCCGAACCCTGTGAGTAATCTACACCCAACAGATGAGGAAACCGAAGTACAGTCCTTCTGCATTTTTTAGTTGCCATTTCCTGTAGCGTTTCCTTTTCCTCACCTCTCGTTTTATTACAATGAACTTGTGGATTCTTTTAAAATTCAGTGTTACAGTTACCCTCATTATTTAATGCTCAAGTAATGTCAAATGTGGTCAATTGGTTTCCAAAATCCTTTTTGTGCCCCTTACTTTCTCACACTGCAGACTTTGTAACCAGTAGTGCAAAGTGGAATTTTTAAGTTAGACTTTTTTCTTTGAGACAAGCAATTTCTCCAAACGTCCTACCGCTGAGCACACAACCAACACCCCCACCACCCCGCAACCTTATTGCAGTGACAGATTGTGAAGATACTGCCCCAGGAGGCTGGAAGCCCAGTTTCCTGGGAGGACAAAGAGCTGAAGATGGCTGGAAGTGGGAAAGCAGGTGTGGAGAATAAAAATAGGATATGAATATATGTGGGGTAAGGGGCAAGGAAGGGAAGCAAAGTTCTCTGAGTATGCCTTTTTATATAATGTATTGTTTTGTTTTGTTTTTTTAAGACTATGCAGTTGGGGTTGGCCTTGAACTCACTGTAGCCAAGGCAATCGTCCTGCCTCAGCCTCCCAAGTGCTGGGATTACAAGTATGTACCACCATACCCCGCTTCAAACTAGTTTTCACAAAGTTTTTAATAAAATTGTTGGGGTGGTGCTGGTTGTAGTTGTTATTGAAAGAGGCTTGGTGAGTTAAGGCCTCTGACACTGTGTTTCTCTGGTTTTTTTGTCCCTGCTTCTTCCTTTTCTTTTCTTCACCTTATCCCATCCCCTCTTAATCTCCCCTGGAACACCACTGTATGTCTTAGTTGTAGTTTTGTTCCTCATACTCCTTATTAACTTACTCATCTGTCCACTGATCTTTCAGTGCACATTTAGTAAAAGTTGATACTTATACATTTTAACTTGAAATCTTATACCTTTTTCTGGGGCTATGGCATAGACTGTTTGCCTATAAAGAAGTATTCTCTCCTCTATATTGAATAACAGAGCTCCTTTTTGGGAGGGACAGAGTCTCATTACGTTGCCCAGATTAGTCTCCAAGCCCTGGGCTCAAGCAAACCTCTCACCTCAGCCTTCTGAGCAGTTGAGACTACAGACATTCATCATCACTCAGTCAAAACTCCAGTTTTTATCTGTATGCATTGTCACCCAGAATAAAGATTACACTTCTCCGCTATGCTTGCAGCTATGCTTAAGATTTATGTGATTTTAGAAAGTTCCTTGAAAAATACTGACTTGACAGAGTACCACCTCGTGTGGCTATAGTCTCAGATAGTGGCGAGGCTGAGGCAGGTTGATCCCTTTACCCCAGTGGCTTGAGGCTAGGCTAGGAAACATAGCAAGAAACCATATAAAAAAAATAGCAGACTTAGGAAGGAGAGGCCCATCCTCTTCTGCTTCTGCAGACTGGAATTATTGGCCTAGCTTCAACAGCTAGGGGAGGACAAGCCATATAGAAAGGATGGTAACAGGATGAAGAGGGATTGGACCCTTAGTGACTCCAAAGATGAAAAGCAATTACTTTCTATTGCCCTCTTTATCTTTAGATCTCATTTATGGGAGAGGACTACACATTTCATATTTTTCAAACCTCTGTTACTAATAGGTGGCAATAAATTCTGATATATTTTGATTCCCTAGGATTTTCTTTCCCTTTTTTTCCTTATGTGTGCCCCAATCATCTGTAACCTACACTGTTTCCTCCCTGCAAACATAATATCTAGGAAACAAACTTTTATAGGGAGGAGATGAGGAATTAGATAGCAACAATGCTTACAGTGGTAGAAGGAATGTAGGTGTCAAAAAAAAAAAAGAGAGAGATTCCCAAGAGATAAAGTAAAAGGAAAAAGAAGGGAGAAAAGGTTCACAAAGGTTCACAAAAACCATGAGAGAACAATGATTTAGGTGATTAACCAGATGCTTGTTAAATTACAATATCCAAAATACTGTGTTGTCATCCTAGAGTCTTAAGTGTCGATAGCCTGAGCTTTCTTGAGGTTTAAGCTCTTTCTTAAAAACTTAGAGGAAGTTCCAGGCTGCATACTTGTAAGTACCCTGGATGATCATATTAAATGATAGCTCTCTTATTAACAGAATAATAACAGACTCAACACAATTGACATCTAATACCCTCAGTCTGACAGTCTCTGAAATAAATCAGCATTCCTATGGGAATCACACCAAAGGATACTCTTCCTCTAGTTTACGTGCCCTATGTTCTTGTTCCCTTGTGGCTTTCCTCACTTTGACTCTTGCTGTCCAGTGGAATTTCTAGGTTATTTTCCAATTTCATCACATTCAGCCCTTTCTTTCAAAAGATCTCAGAATTCCTCTCTGACTCTGGCCCATTTCATGTACTTTTTCCACTAGCATAAAAGAAAGATGGTTGAACAGGAAGCATTTCTTCCTGGGACTACCATATGTAGACACATAGTACACAGTGATATTCAGTGTCCAGCGACGTTTCAGGAAAGCACCTCCCACAGACTCATCTGAAGGTCTGATGTCTGGGGTCAGTAATCCACACTCCCTCCTCAGACACATTAACCACTGTTGTACCAAGCCAGCAAGAGGACACCAAATACTGGACACAGATAAAACCGAAGGAAGTGTATTACACACGAGCAGACTCCACTTTCTAAGAGAAATGAAGCCCCGTTACAGGATTGTTCATTGGTTTTATAGGGTTTTTCAAACAAAGAAGTTCCAACAACAGGGCTTTCACACAGCTGCCAGGGGGTAAAACTTCAAACATACTCGTTTATCTTACACTTATAGAAATGTTTTACGATCACCTTTAACATACCATATGTTCCCGGGCAGGCTTGTTAATCAAGCTTGCAATTAATGCAGAAAGATTTTTGCAGTTTGAGCAGTTTTCCCCGATGTTTGATAAGGGGAGGGGGAAGCAACAGCCTCTGGGGTCATTAGCAGGCCAGCATGGAGTCACTTTAGCTCAGTCAGGTCTCACAACCATGTCCTCCTTGAGCACTAACTTCTTTCCAGAAGTTTCCGGCTCCAAAGAGGCACTGCCCTCTTCATCAAAGAGGAGTGTCCTATTTCTTTAAGTACTGGAGCACCTGCAGTTAGGTTCCAGTCCCCTGCCCACTATATGACACAGGCTGAGGAATAAAGTACACTAAGAGAACTAGGAGAGAAAGCAGGATGGCAGGACAACCAATGTGAGTGTAACCAACAAAGGCCCTGGCCAGTGCCAGGCACTGACTTTTATTGGCAATCAATTGGGTTAGAGGTGAGCTATGTGCAGTTTCTATAGAAATTAATGTAAACTAGGCTCATAAAGGACAAGACAAAGCATTCTCGAATTAGGAACCAAATAGACAAATATATGGCTATAATTGGAACATTGTCTTTCTAGTAAGGTTTTAGTTGTGGAAATGGAATTTGGGTGTGAGTTACTCTGACCTCAGCATATAAGCTTCAGTCAAACTCATTTCTCAAAACAAGCCAGTTGTGGGGTTAACTCTTCACAGTCTGCCTTGTGCATAATCAATATTATGGTCATCTGCATCTTCCCCTTCTCTGTGTGGAAGAAGCAGCTGCAACACGTCTGGTGATCTTGCAGGTCCCTGGGCTGTAGCAGGTGAGGGAATTGCTCAGATGTAGCCTTTGCATGGCTCTCAGCAGAGTGTCACAGCGTGCTGCTTGCAGTGAATCCCATCATTTTGGTCCATGATTGTATATTTTAGGATGATGACCACAACATCTTTTTATTTTCTGTTGAAAAATAAGCATGCCCTGGCCCCTATGTTATTAAAGTATTGAGCCATTTACCTTTAAGTTAGGACATACTTTGATTACACTAATGTCTAAGATATGTCTGTAGATTTACCTGTGTATCAGTGGAGGTTCAATGGAATATATTTACCTTCTATGCATGGATTTAAAAATTTTTCAATGAAAGTAACAAGATCAAATTAAGCTTGTGGAGGTCACTGCACCCCTCTTTTTAGTTTATGTAATTGTGTTTTTAGGTAAAGGTGAGTACCTCCAACAATGGCTTGTCCCCATGAGTTATCCAATGGACCTATGTCACAAGGAGCTATATATAATGTGTCCAACTGATTTAGATGTCTTTAATAATTTCCTCTATAAAGAGCATCTTTAACTTTGGTTAGGGGAGAAAGGGAGTAGTTTTAATCCATCTGCTTCGAGCTGAGAAGGGTCAATGTAGGGAAGACTCCAGTTAGGGGCTCTGTTCAGGGAGCTAATTTAATAGGCCTTAAATAAAAATCATGTTGTAATTTAGCAATTATAAAGTTTTTTTTTTTTTAACCGGGGATTGATCTCTGGATCTTGTGCTTGCAAGGTAGGCAGTGGAACTACTGAGCTAAATCCCCAGTCCTATAAACTCTTTTAATAGAGTTAGTCTGGTGGATTTTGGTTAAAAAAAATCTAGTACATTTGCTTTGGTTTTCTGAGACAGGGTCTCACTATGTAGTTGAGACTGACCTGGAACTCACTATGTAGCCCAGGCTGGCCTTGAACTCACAGTGATCCTCCTGCCTCAGCCTCCCAAGTGCTGGGATTACAGGCATACACCACCATGCCTGGCTTTGTTGTTGATTTTATCTATATGATCACTTGGAGTTTGGCAGCCTATAGGCAAGAATAAACTATTTTTTAAAGAAATTAGAGCGTTATAATCGAAGTATTGATAGAGAACTCTTTAATAGCAAAAAACCTAGGAAAAGTCACAACATAAGATAACGTCTGCCCTTTGCTCTGTTTAGTGCAAAATTAACTGGCGCAGGAGGCTAGTCTCCCTAAAAAGTTTTGTAAATGAAAAGAATCATTGTTAACTTTGTTGACCAAACACACCCTCTTCCTCTGGACTAGAATAGATAACTAAATGTATTTTAAAGGTTACCTGGAGCTGGGGATTTAGCTCAATGGTTCCACCCCACTGCC